AGAGTCCTAAAATGATTAAAAAACAAAACATCCCATAAGAAATCAAAAGCAAGTTCTTTGGTTGTTTAAGACCATAACAAACCCCCTCAGAGGAACCTGAGCTCTCACAGAACCTCACGTATTTTAAAGCCTGAATGCAAACTTGATTTGTTGTATTCATTTGCAAGGTCTTGTAATCCATGGCCCAACCCTCGAATGCTAGGTTCATTGCTTGGCTGCCTTAGGGTGACCTTGAACAAATCAACTTATGTCCCAGTTATAGAAAACAGAGATTGACCCTACAAGATACCTACCCTCCACATTGGCTCACAATCCTCCTAGCTCCTGAGAAAATACAATGTGGGATAGCATATGTCTTATAAAAATGAAGTATTACTCTTATAGAGGACAATTATATAATGAGATTAATCCCTGCAGTCTTCCACAGTTCAGGTTAAGACCCAGTTAAGCACTAAAATGTGCTTACTTGTGTCTCTGGACATACACTTGAACATTGAAGGCACAATTCACAATGGCTGCAGATTCACTCCCTATTCTTGTTTCAAATTTCAGTTTAGCTTCATAAAATCCTTTTTCTTCCTTACTTGCTGTATCTTCTTAATCTAAACTGCACAGAATTTTGGGTATTCATACTGAAATAAGAAATTATAGAAAGAGTGTACTTTCCTCTATTTACTAAGTTATGAAATATATTTGGGGGCCAGAGTGGGTGGTAGCAGTTGGCAGTCCAACTGCTGCCTGTGAGGCCCATATCCTATATTGGAGTGCAGGAGTTTGAGTCCCAGCTCCATTCCTGAAACCAGTTTCTTGCTAATGCACACCCTGGGAGTCAGGTGATGGCTCAAGTGTTGACTAGCTGCCATCCATTTGGGAGACTCTGAGGTCCTGATTCTTAGCTCTCAATTGGCCCAACTCTCTTACCGGCACTTGAGGCATGAATGAACACAATGGAGATCTTTATCTGTTTCTGCCTTTCAAATAAAATAATGTAGACAGAAATAAAAAAAATTAATTGATGATGACAGAATAACAAGCATTTATGGAAAGAAAAATGAGGAAGGGTTTGCACTACCAAAGACTTTTTTCCCAGAATAAGACAAACTGCCTATAAAATTTGTATGAAAATGTAAAAAGCCAAAACAGCCAACTCATGTTGAACAATAAATGACTGATCTTGCTCTACCTCCATCACAAAGCCACAAATAAGGCAGTGTGTAACGCTAGCACCAACAAGTTAATGTAAACTAAGGGAGAATCCAGAAAGCAACACAGACATATTGACACACACAGGAGCAGCTGGGAATGGCTGTCTTTGTTCTCCACACAGCTAAAACCCCTTCCTCAGTCATGAATATACTCAGAATCGAATAGCTGATGGAGGCAAAATTGTCTAACTTTCAATTTTAAAAGATTTTAAATGAATATAACTTCTTGGGCTTGTGCTGTGGTGATTAAGCTTCCATCTGTGGAACTGACATTTGGGCACTGGTTCCCATCCTGGGTGCTCTACTTCCAATCCAGCTCTCTAATGATGTACCTTCCAATCCAGCTTTCTACTGATGTACCTTCTAATGAGAAGGCAGCATTAGATGATGACCCAAGTGCTTGGCACCCTGCATCATGTGGGAGACCTGGTAGAAGCTCCTGTATCAGCTCTGGTCATTGCAACTGTTTGGAGAGTGAACCAAGAGATAAAGATATCTCTCTCTCTGTAACTACCTTTCAGATACATACATAAGACACAGAAGGCACTAGGCATAAAAGGTGAATTTGCCACTAAAATTCATTCATTTCTGTTGGTTACAATACCATGAAGCAAATGGACAGAGATTCCTATAAAAGAGAGGGGATGTTTACAACAAATCTACGAAAATCTTTGACCAAACACCAAATACTAACCTCCAGAGTATCTGTTAATCCATGAGGGTAAAAACTGACATCTGACATAAAGTGATGGGAAAGAGACAAATGACTCCAAAAGGCATTTCTAAAACAAATCCAGCAGCTAAAAAACAGAAACATCTTCCCATTAAGGGAAATGTAAAAAAAAAAAAAAAAAAACCACTATGAACTGCCACTATTTAACATTGCATCAGCTAAAATTTTAAAAAACCTGGCAATATCAACTGCTGACAAATTGGAATTCTCATACGATAGGATAGGGTTGTGAAAATACAAATGTTAGACATTCGTATCTTAAAAGCCAACAATTCCCCTCCTGAGTACATCCTCTATAGAAACGCATCCATGCACACAAAACAGCTCATTGCACCGCACCACTGCTTACCATAGCCAGAAACTGAAAATACCATATAATTGCCTAGCATATAAAATTAATGCAGCTTACAATGAAACAGCTCATTATACACCTACATGTGACATGAATTTCATAAACTATGGATTCAGGACACTAGACATAATGCAGAATGAATCATTAAAAGTGGAAAGAAGGCAAAACAAACTACGTTCATATGTAACTGGGTAAAGTAACTTAGCAAAGGGGAAAAATGCCATGAAGTGAGGATGGTGGTTACTTCTGAAGGATGGCAGCATCAAGGGGTCAGGACAGTCTATGGGGCCAGTGCTAGTAGTAGCTTCTCTGCTTCATGGCCACAAAGCTGTGGCTTTACCCATCAAACCACACATGTCTTTTATACACTTTTCTGTAAGTTGTATTTCACACTTAAAGTAACAGCATGACTTATACTACCAAAAACTGACAACAAAATCCATGTTGATAGAATATAAACAATTAGAAAGCCTCTGAGATATAGGCCCAAGACATAAAGAGCATATGAATATTCTATAATAGTATTACCTATCAAGAGAGGGCAAATAGCAATTTATGATACTGAGCCAATTGGAAACTATAAAAATGAATACCCTATCTCTTACGAAGTCCCAAAACAAACTGTACAGATTTTTTTTATTCCAAATTTGAGTGAGTTAAGGGAGTTGATTACGAAGAAAATTAAAATTCCTTTTGAATTAAAAATCAGTCTTAAAAGTGAAACAAAAAATAAGGATAAGTGTTAAGAAAAGTATGTCAAGGCACAGATGCAAAGATAGTCTCCTAAAAACAAAAACAACTTCACATCAAAACACAAGCTACAAAAATTCAGTGAAGCAACACACATAAGAAAATCCTTAAGAAGTTGTAAAACAGAGAAAATTGGTAACACAAAAAATGGCATTAGCAAATCTCAGAATATAAATGACCCATAAACACGAAAAACATTCAACCTTCACTAAGTTATCAGATTTTAAATGCAGCCCTTCTATAATTATTTAATCTGAAATTACTTTAAAATTTTTTAATTCTCAGAATTTAAGATACAGCAAATAAGAATTTAAATGTACAATCTCCAAATTAATCTGTCAGGATACTTCAAAAAATCAAGAAGAAATGGAATTAAAAGTTTATTTTGGTATAAAAAAATCTAGGAATCCATGCAATTTTTACATTATATACATGAATTTTTTTAAGTACCTTGAATTTCAAGATTCTTTAAAAATATATATGCCTGGGCCCAGCGCGACAGCCTAGTAGCTAAAATCTTCACCTTGCATGCACCAGAATCCCATTTAGGTGCTGGTTCGTGTCCCAGCTGCTCCACTTCTCTTCCAGCTCCCTGTTTATGGCCTGGCAAAGCAATAGACAGCCCAAAGCTCTGGGACCCTTCACCCACACGGGGGTCCTGGAACAAGCTCCTGGTTCCCAATTTCAGATCAGCTCAGCTCTGACTGTTACAAATACTTGGGGAGTGAAGCAGCAAACGGAAGATCTTTCTGCCTCTCCTTCTCTCTGTAAATCTGACTTTCAAACAAAAATAAGTAAATCTTATATATTAGATATCTTCACTAATTTTAACTCTAAAATGGTTATCTCCTACAAGTTATTTTGCAGATATTTTTAAATGATTATCACTGCTTATAGATCACAATAATCAAATTGCTGAACAAGAGGAAAATGATTAAAGCATACCACAAAATGGAACATTCTGCTATCTAAAATACAAAAAATTTAATGAGAAAATATATACAATGCATGAGGGTGGAGACAATGAGCAGGAAGATGCATTTTTAAAAACATGAATGCATAGCTATACACAGACAACACTGAAGCATTAGGAGATTGTGTTTGGGTGGAAGATTATAGGACGCTGTGAGTACGTGCACACGATCCCTTGTATACCATCCAGCATTTTAGAAATAACAGGTTTATTTCATTTTCTGCACATAGAACATCAAATGTTATGACAAGAAGTTATTTGTTATAGTTACAAAAACTACAAATAGTAAGACTGTCAACTCTATACACTTTTTTTTTCTGCTTTGTCAAGAGAAGCAGAGAGCTAGCGTTCACAACAGGCAACACAGAAAATAGAACTGCGCCCTTCCTATCACAGGAAGCTCAAAGTTGAAGCTTCCAGTAACATTTCAAATATGAATACTCTTTTAGCAGAAGGTTAACTAAGTACCAGTAAAATACAACCACAAATATTTGAAGTTGTTCTAATTAATATTTTATTTTTCAACACTTTTAAAAGCCCAAACATTTTAGACAAATAATCTTTTTTTTTTTTTTTGGTAACACAGGTGTTAATCTCTGGAAACAACCATATAACCACTTAAAAGGACATGAACATGGTATTTTTGTGTCTATATACGCATTTAGGAAGCTACAACTTGCATATGCCCCTTTGGAGGAAAAAAATAATACAATTCAATTTTAACTTTGAAAAAACAGTTACTGGTTTCCTTACTAAACAATGTTCTACACATGAAACTATCAAGTGAGACAATGAACTCAAGTCAGATGAAGCCCATTAGAGCCACTCCTTCCATCCAGCTTAAGCAGGCTTAGACTGTTCCTGTATCTCACACTACTCCAGGCAACTCTGGTCATGTAGAAAGACCCTCCACCTTCTAGCACATACTCTAAGTAACATTCTTCCTAAGGTCAGACGGAAGGAAACAACATTTAGCAATTTTCTGAGTATCTTTCTAGGTATTTCACATCCAGTATCTCAATAACCCCATGCAAACATGCACACAATTTTCCAGACTGATCCCTTTGTTATTTAAAAAAAGGAGGGAACTAGGTCTTCCTAATACTTCAGGTGCCTGGGATGACTAAATATTTCACTGACATAATAAAAGATGTAATAAATGCTGTTTGATAGAGGTAAAAGAATAAAGCAAAATTATCTGCTTTCATTTGGCTCAAAGAAAAAAATTTTTCTACTATATACTAAAATATCAGACCGATGCACAACATACTGCAAAATTTTAATACAATGTGAATAGACACAATATTCAAATATTAAACTTCAAGCACATGAAATTCATCTTCTGAAAGACAAACTGGGCTTTTGTTCATAGCTACCCTTGGTAAGGTCACATAATTCTTTTCCCCAACAATGTCTGACATTGATCTTGATACTTAGAAAGTCTGATGTGAGACGGTGACATTAACAGTCAGATTTAGGAGATGATCCCAACGGCCATCGTCAGCATTCATCATCTGAGGATTGGTCATCATCTTCATCCCTTACTTCCCGATACTGCCTCGAAGACTCTCCTTCTGGATTGTAACTCTGCATCTTAATATTCAGTTTTTCAGCTAATTTTTGTGCTGCGAGCTTTGCTTGCATCTCCTTTAAAACAAAGGGGAAAGAAAAAAAAAATCACACAATCACACCTTTTCCTTATAATCTTTTAATAATAAGTTAGTTGTTCAGACTCAGAAAAAAGAGGGCATGAACATCCCACTTAGTGCTCTCTGCAGCAATGCAAGGAGCATGAAAGCTATGCTCCCCCAGATATAAAGGGGCAATGCTTATGAGAGCCATTTGTCTCCTAGCTTAGTTACTGATATCCATTAATAAACATTTCACTGAGCTAGCCGACCTCTGTGTAAGAAATGGAGTAATCCAATTAGCTTTCCAACACTTACACAAATATGGACACAGATCTATGGACACATGCATGTGCACGCATGTACATACATACGCGCACACACACAATAGTCTGACCTACCAAATGTCAACATTCACTTATGCTGTATTGATCTCTCTGGCAGAACTTTTCCTCCCTAGATTAAATCTTAGCTTCTTCGGTCTGAGAGCTACATTTCACTGGCACAAGAAATACAAAAACACCAACACTATAAAGTGGACTACCCTCTATTTGAATAAAGTCCCACAGAAACAAGTACTCAACAAAAACCCAAGTGAACTGCAGACACACTCCCAAGTGCTTCACCAAGGACTGTTGGCAGGAGGCAATTCTCGTTCTAGGTCCAACTCCCCTCTTTTTTCATGCTTCCTTCCTCCCATACTTTAACTTTTTTACTGTTTTCCCTTCAGGCCAGGAATTGTCAGTCTATACCTCTTCCAAGGAGCTAATTTCAAGCTCAAGGATTTAATTTAACCTAAAAATATCCTAGGAAAGGCATTTATGATCCCAGACAACAATTAAAAATGCCAACCCAGGACTTTTAAGAAAAGTTAAGGTACAGTAGCACACTAGTTCTGTATTAGTACATAGCACCTTTTGGGAATCTCAGTGTACTAATCAGTGTACAGTCTTCACATATTTTCCCATATCCCATTAACGTATACACACATTCTCGATATCCAATTAAAAGCAATATGCAAACACACGGGTTATAGGAGGAAGTGCTAACACTAAGTCACCAACAACAGATGATGCTGTAAACACCGAGTTCCACTGCTTCCTGGCCCCCACCATTCCCATCAATCTTAGGCACATTTCCCTGATCCTGGTTAAAAGTCCACTGATGGGGCTTGGTGAAACACAAAGGAACAATGTGACTTCTATCCTAATGATAGCAGGTACAGCTTTTAAGATGTAAACAGCAGTCCTCTCCACAGGTCTCCTGTCCATTCACTACAGTGATACTAAGGGGAGCTTGATCACCTCCAGCTGTTTCCCAGGAGCCTAGCAGTTTTGTAATTCTTTGTAAACTAAAGGTGCATATCTGAGAGCCCGTGGTATCAGCTAACCATTTCTCCAGTACCTAATTCTTTCTTTGTATATCCCTTCCTTCTTCAACTACCCACAGTAAGTTCTGACTCACATCAACATATGGACAAGAAAAAAAATCAATATTCTAAATACCTCATAGTTCTGCTTCTGCTGTTTCTGAAGTGTCAAAGATTCCTCCATAGAGAGCAGCTGTGTGGGCATATGGTGAAGTGGGAGAAGTCGAGCTGCTGTGATGTCATCAAGATGCTGCTTGTCCCTGCGCAGTCGCTCTTCTGAGGCCAAAGGAGACACTCCCCTGTGCTGGTGACCAGGTAATTCACTCTGCCGGGAGGGTAACCTAAAGGAGGAAAAACTTACCTTACAAGATCAGGCAAAGTACAGGAGTACACTCTTACAACCATTCTGTTTTTCACTCTCAGTACAATATTCAATAAGCTACATGAAGCATTCAACATATAACAAAACAGAGCCATGCTAGTGGTTTTTCCCAATCATATCTGAGTATCAGTGTTCTGAGCATGTTACAAGTAGGATAAACGAACCTAAGTGTTGAGCAGTTTAGGTGTATAAACTGCATTTTCAGCTTGTGGTATTTTCAATTTATGATATGCTATCAAGACATAACCCCCATCATAGGCCAAGGAGCATCTACATGCAACATACACAAGTTATCTGCTTTTTAAAATCCCTCTTTAAACCTTTCACTGAACCCAAGGTATTTTTTAACTTGCTCAAAGAGTATTTGCAAAAGGGCTTACTGCTCACGAGAGGCAAATAAACATGTAAATAGTTTCAGGGCAATATAATGCCAGAGGTCCCATGACAGGCGTGACCAGTTCTAGCCAGGGACAAGAAGCTTGTCAGAAAATGAAATCATTAGATTTCTTAAGAGTTCACCAAATAAAAGGGAAAGAAAGACACTCCTAACCAGGAGGGACAACATGGTAGCAAAACACAGGAAGGTGACGGAGAGCGCAGAAAAGGGATGCAAGCAGGCTAGGCAAAGACTACAAGGGTTGCATTCTGTTTAACTGGTTCAAATTTACACATTACAAATTTCATTCTGGAAGTAGTGGAGAAACAAGGCTAGTAGTTAAAACTGACCCTCTGCACCCTGGAGGCCCACATGGGAATATATCCCTCTCAACATTAAAAAGAAAATTTTAAAAAAAGACTGGTGGTTGAGACTCAAAGCAGGAACAATGCAAATCCTTCACACTGGCAGGAAAGGATGAAGACAGGAATGTCTATAGAGATGAAAGATTAAAAGAATAAATCATGTAAGTACTTCTTCACAGCCAGAAAATACAAAGTAAAGGGAAGACACTCTAAGGGTAAAAACATGTGGTAGCACCATTAACCTAGGGATTATGGAATAAAAAGAAAAATCGGAGATGTCAGACACCCAAGTGGTCATGTTTTATACACAATTGGGCCACACAAATATAAAGTTCTAGCAGAACTCGAGCCTCTAGTAGAGGCAGCTACTAGCACCTAAAACTGTTTATAAAGCTAAAGGAAAAGTCAAAAAAGTACCAAAGGACATGACCCTTCCACTGTGCAGCCTCCAAGCCACTGCTCACATGGAAGCCACCCATTCCCCACCTATTTATGGCCTACTGACTCACGACAGCCCAGCCTTTCTTGATTTAACTGCACAAAAACTGTGCTCCTAAAATTCCTTAACCATGAGCAGCCCTCATCACTATTTCCTCACGTGCTCACTCCCAGCCAGGCGAGCACAACACAGGACTGGAACAACGCAGTTTTCTTTTCCAATTAGACAAAACTGCTTTCTAAAACGTCCTTACGGAAGTGAAGACATCTCACTGCATATGAGAGATTGCTCAGAGATTACTTTTTATTCCTAATTAAAGCAGTATACACTTAAGCTTTCTTGTTTCTTAGAGCAGAAACAAGATAGTATGGGGTTAAAAACATTAACACTGACATAGGATAAAGTTGTAAGTTTCAGTCAAGTCCTTTTATGACAATAATAAAAAAAAATACCATTTCGACATCTGATTTTTCAAAGCAGTATAGTAATAGTTTAAGTTCATACCTAACGTTCCATCTTTGGACAAGTACTAGTCAATATGTGCTGATTTGAATTCTACACTTGCTGCAAGTAATGAGCTGCCATTTTCTCTTAAAAAAAATTTTTTTTTCCTAGCGATCTCAAAAAACCAAACTATGGTGAGAAATTCAGAAGCAGGGTTTTTGCTCATGCTACTTGAATCTATTTCCACACTTATTATCCCCCTCACATCTCCCTTTCCACTGAAATTTTCAGTACATAATTCAATCTTTTTACCCAAGTTTGTAAACCTTGATTCTTATCCAGAATCCTAAGCTCTTCAAACAACTGAAGATTTCAGTGTGCCGTCACAGCACCTGAGGCTCACATACAGTGTGAACACACAAATATGGTTTTGTTGATAAAGTCCACCAATTCTTGCATTCCTGTGCCCTTAGTTTACAGACTAATCAAAGAAAGGGGGAGTTATACACTCAAAACTGGCCATGGTTTAAAAAAAAAAAAGTCAACAATTCTCTCCTTAGCTCCGTTTAGGATGAAATATTGGCTAAACATGTTAAACATGTAATACTCCCCCATCAACTATGTAAAACCTTTTCAATTATTTGGCTTCCAAACCAAAGTATTTTTCAACCTGAATCCTGTCTCTGGCTAGACACAGCTAAACGCAGCTTCCACAACATACCCCATCTCTAATCACCAGCTGTGCTCCAACAAAGCGCACTGGGCTTAAAGCAGCCTCCATATTTTGAGATTTAAGAAAATCATGAAGTTCCTGTGCTACTATGTTCCTCCATGACAATACTTACACATTGGTTTTAAATTTCTGTGCTGTTGGCACTGGGTTTTTGGCTCGCATTTCCAGCACTTCCATGTAATGAGGCTTCCTCTGAGTCCTGCTACTAAAGGCCGTTAAGTTCTCGGTCCTTGTGTTTGCTTTGGAGGGGTGTTCACCTTGGTCTGAAATTGTGATCCTTTGTAATTTGTCAAGAAACAGACTATCAAGGCTGCTGGAAGCGTCTTCCACTTGACTTGAAGCACTCTGTGGGGAGGAATGCTCTCTGGCTTCAGAGGAGGACAGCACCCTGGCCCTGGGGCTGGCAGCTGGGCACCTGTTCACGGGGGGCTCAGCCTCTTGACGCTCTTCATCACCAGCGTGAGGAGGTACAAGTCCGTGCTTGGGTGAGGCTGTTGGAGAAGATTTGATGGTATCTACAGAGGAAGAGCCAGGAACTAGGGATGAAGTATCAAGTATCTCGTCAGGATTTTGGGTCTTGTCTATGTCCACATCAATGTCTGCATTTGCTTTTTGCTTTAGTGTAGAGTCTAAACTAACAGGATGAAAGAGTTCACTTACTCCTCTAACTTCTTCACGTCCTGCAATGGCAGCTTTCAGTTTGGCAACACTGTCGAACACTTTTTTACCTTTGTCGGGCAATTTGCAAATGAATTTTCTGTCAAATGGAAAAGAACAGGTATATATTAGAGCCATGACTTTACACTTAAGGCAAAACACTAACAAAGGACCATCCTCCAAAACTGATTTTTAAGTTAATGCCTGATTTTTAACAGTCTCCAGGCAGGATTAAAACAAATAAGCATTATCCCAATACCCTTAAAAAATTCTCTTTCGAATTTCAGCAAAAGTACTTGAAGAATGTAGGCTGAACATTTCTAACCTGAAAATCTGAATTTCTTCAACACTAACACAACACTTTAAATGGAAAATCCATGTTTGACCTCATGTGATGGTTGCAGTCAAAAATTCAGGCATACTAACAGTACTATATAAGTCAAAATGTGCGCACAGGCAACATAAATTAATTGTATTTACACTTAGGTCTCATCCCCTAAATATTTATACAAGTGTTCAGAGCAATTCAAATATGGAAAAACAATTCTTAAATATTAGTATATTTGTACATATAAATATTGAAAATTACTTTTAAAAATCTGAAAGCTTTCTGGCCTAAGCTTTTCATATAGGGGATACTTTACCTGTACAAATATCATCTAAGACATCTCTAAATCCATAGCTTTTTTTTTTTTAATTATTTATTTCTATATTTGAAAAGGCAAAGATCTTCCATCTTCTATCTGCTGGTTCACTCCCAAAAAGGCCTCAGCAGTAGGAGCTGGACCAACACAAAGCCAGTTGCTAAGAGCCCTGACCTTCTTCCTGGTCTTCAGGTCAGTGCAGGGGCCCAAGCACTTGGGGTATCCTTCACTGCTTCCCCAGGCACATTAGCAAGGAGCTCAATCAGAAAGTGGAGCACCTGGAACTCAAATGGATACCCATATGGGATACAAGCAGCAACACAGGCAGCACAGGCGGCAGCTTTGCATACTACACCAAAGCACTAGTGAGTCCTGAATTCCTAACTTTTAAAACGCAACCTCCAAAACCTGTTGGGGGAATGGGATCCAGTACATACTCTGACACTGCTATTCAAGTGCTAGCTACCATTCCCCTCATGATTCCTCACATGGGCACAGTGAAGTTTTTCAGAGGTCACGTGATGTGTGCTGCCACCCCGACTCAGAAATGGAATGTGGATTTGTGAAAACCAAGAGCTCTTTGGGATGCCTGATTCCTCAAGTATAAGGGAGGTGTTCGGGTTTAACTGTAGATTCACTGTCATTCTCACAAACCCCATGCACCTGTGCCTACTACAAAGGCATCTTCCAGTCACAGAAGTTGCTTTTCCAATACTTCAGCCATGCACAGTAACAAGAGGAAAGGTTACCTCTGAGGCCCTCCAGCTTTGTTTTGTTTTGTTTATTCCTGACACTATGTTCATTCTCACAATTCCAACTACTTATGAACAACTCTGCAATCAACACCCCCACCCTACTCTACCCCGTCTCTCCTGTCTCCTCTGGGCTCAGTGAGCCAAACTTGAATCTATTCCTTTCCTTCACTTTGCCTACTGGTGTTAGCGCTTTTCCTCACATCCTGGCAACTATAGCCGTGGTAATCCCTGGCCTGACAGGGCTGTTCCAATCCCACCAGCTGTCCTCCCAGTTCACTTTCCTACAACCTCCTGCTTGGAAGCCGCTCTAAAAATACCTTCCTGATGCCTCCTGCCTCTTACCCCTTCAAGCTATCCCGCCGCATGCTGCTCAGCCAGCTGCCCTGCAAACACGACTCCCTTTGATCCCAGGCCCACCTCTCCTCAAACTCCCTGTAGTGGGCCAGCTGAATGGGAATCCAACTTCTCGGCCTCACAGACCGCTCTTTCAACCTCCCGCTTCTCACTGCCCCCACGGCGCCCGGAAGCAAAGAACCTAGAGATGAGATGGCCGAGCGATGCTGGGGACCTAGGGGTAGGGGATGGGAAGCCCCCACGGTAACTGGGTAGACAAAAGTAACGCGGAGCAGCCCTCGGGGAACCCCCGAGCCGCCGGCCGCGAGCAACAGCGCGTGGCCAGGAATGTGGCGCGGCTCCACGGCAGCAGGCCGCGAGGCTGACAGGAACCCGACTGACGCAAGGTCACCTTCCAGGAGAGGGACCGGGCTGAGGGAGGGCGCGTCGCAGCGACCCGGACCCCAAGGAGCCGGGCTGGGACTCGGAGGGACCCCCCCACCCCCACCACCAGCAGCAGCACCACCCTTCCTCAGCTTACTCGTTGCGCAAAAGTCTCTCCTGGCGCTTCAACATCTCCCGCAGCTCCACCAAACTCCGCTGCCCCAAGTCCTCGGGAACTTGGGGCTCGAAGCCGCGGGGCAGCAAGGACATTCTGCGGGGCCTGAGGCTGGCGAGGCGGCGGGCACTCGGCTTCCTCGGCAGCCCCCGCCGCTGGTGCAGGATCCGCGGCCGGCGGCGACTCCGGGGCACGAGCGGGAGTCGCCATTTTCCCGGAAGAACAGGTCTTCTTCGAGGCGAATCGAGCTTTATTGAAACGCCGGAAACAAACACTGACCAGGAGAAGGGGGCGCCCGGAGGCGAGCCAAGGGGCGGAAGTTAAGCGTTTGACGTCAGCGCCTCGATTTAGCGCGCTTTTCTGTGTCTGTGAGCCTGCGTTGAGCCAGAGGGTCCCGTGTTAACCCAGAACTGTTAGCAGGGTGAGTTTTAGGGAGCACGTAATCACGGCCCCTCCTGTTGTTATTTCGCAGTTTTGAGTAATGGGGGTGAAGGAGCAGACATGGACCAAATAAGAGGATGGGGCACCTTTTAAGAAGTGAAATGGAGGTTGGCTGTTAGTGAAACAGGAGTGCATTTTAATGTGGTGATTCCTATCCCAGCTGCAAAACCCTGAAATGTTACAGGTTGGAACCTTCCATCAGAGCTCTCTATAGCGTTTCAGCAGGAATTTCCTTCACTGGTGGTGATACCTGAGGCATTGCGGGGACATTTCTCCCCTCCATCTTTCTAATAGTTGCAGTGATGCTCGCAAGTCATTGCAGCAGTCTGAAGCACGCCCTCACACAGACGCTCTCACTTGCAGACACCCACAGAAAGGTGATGAGGGGCGATCCAAGGTTTGAAAACCCTTCATAGTTCCTTATTTTGCCCTTTGGGAAAACAGGCAAACCTAGAAGCAGATATTCCCAGGGCACAGAATCAGAAACAGGCAGATTCCAAAGCCTGTTCCCTTTCCCAGCCCTCTAGTGTTTTAAGTACCTGGCTTCCCTTTAGGCACATTTACAAATGTATAAAATAATGGAAAATTTTTGTTTTTTTTTGTGGCTATTGAGAAAAGGGTAGCAAGCATCAGAGCCAGCCGTTACCTAATGTTTGTTGTTAACCTGCCAGCGCTGCCTCCCAAAGGGATGAGTAGGGAGCTGACTAACTCAGCATGAAAGGGTTGGATGCGCCCTTAACGCCCAAGCACCCTCCTCCCTCATTGTTTAACATTTGATGTGTTTCTGGATCCTGTATATGATGCTGAGGTGTGCAGCAACTCCCAACCAAGTAGAGAAGCTCCAGATGAAACCTGAAGCTACTTCAGAGAGTTCCATGGTAGCCATTTCTGTTGCTCTCCTCCCCTCCAGCTAGTCCTTCTTGGTCAGATCAATGATACAGTCTTCCTAACTATAAACCTTACCTTCAGTAACTTACGCAAATCCTGACTAAGCAACAAGTACTTAAGAATCAAGACCTTGAGTCAGACTGGTCAAACTTCCCGCAAGACTCCCTCCTCCTACTCCTTGGCCTCAGCTGGAGAACTTTCTCCACCCCCACCCCCCCAGTAGTGAAGGTCAGTCTTCGATTCTGGGTCACAGATGTCTTCAGGCAAGGATGCCTTTCTTTTCGACCTCAGAATTTCATCTCTTGTTTTCCTCTTGTGGAATGCCATCCCTTCTCCCCAGTGCCTTCATAGATTATTCTAAACCAAATTGCTCTTCTCCTATGAGCACAGCTGTAGTGCTTAGAGTTCTAGTGTATGAAATGTATTATGCTTCTGTAATTATGCATGGTGGTTTTTTTTTTTTCTTTCTAACAAAATAATCTGTCAAGGTACTGTTTTTGGACTTGGCCTTGTCTCCCTTAAGTCACCCAGCAGGTACCAATTGATAAGATCTCCCAAATTTTCTCTCTCCACTTTTTTTTTTAAGATTTTTATTGCAAAGTCAGATATATATAGAGAGAGGAGGAGAAACAGAGAGGAAGATCTTCCGTCCTTTGATTCACTCCCCAAGTGACCGCATTAGCCGGAGCTGAGCCAATCCGAAGCCAGGAGCCAGGAGCTCTTCTGGGTCTCCCATGCATCAAGTTTGTGAGAATGACAGTGAATCATCAAACGGAAGATCTTCCTCTCTATGTATCTGACTTTGCAATAAGAATAAATAAATCTTTAAAAAAAAAAGAAATACACCCAAAGAAAAATAGTCTATCAAAGAACTACCTGCACACCATGTTAAATAAAGTACTATTGACAATAACAAAGATATGAAAACAATCTAAGTATCCATCCACTGTTAAATGGATAAAGAAACTATGGTATATACACATAGTAGAATGCTACTAAACCATCAAAATACAAAATCTTATAATTTACAAAAACATGAAATTGGAAGTTTTATATAAAAACAAATATCTCATTTCTATGTGGAATCTAAAAATAGGTAATATGATAGAATTGAAAAGTTTGGTGGTGGTTAGTTACTAGAGGCTGGGAAAGGAAGGGAAGAAGAATAGATGGAGAAAGATTGATTAACAGGAAGTAAGGTGTAATTAGATAGAAATTAAAAGTTCTGGTGTTATGTTTCACTATAGGGAAACTAGAGATGTTTATGTACTGTATATTTCTTTGTTTAAAGAAATGCAAGATGGAGTTTTGGATTTTTTTTTATTGTGAAGAAATGTTAATGGTTAGAGGAGATTGACATACTTACACTGATTGCACATTACATAACATATACTCTCAGTGGTCCTTCTAGTGGGGTGTGATGTCTGCACACGGGTTGTGGGATACGGGGTGCCCAGGCAAGATGACCCAATGCACACTTTATTGAATTTTTCTGGGCTAGTTATGCCAGTTTTTTTGCAAGACAAGCAGGTTGGTAAAAGTTACAAGTTAACTGAACAATGGTATGCAAACTACTCTAATAGATCACAAGGGATTAAGGGTAGCAGGCAGATAGGTAAACATGAGTTACAGGGATCAACACCAGTAAACAAACAGATCTAACTAGAAAAGAAATCTAACAGAACTTTGTACTCAGATACGTGTAGGCCATAATCACTAAAGAAAAAGGGAGATGAGGAAGACACCTTGCACCTCCCCACCATTAACCAACAAGGTGGATTGGTAATCGCAGCAGGGAGTCTGTTCCCTGCAGCATTCTCAGTCTGCCAAGAATGGTTGAAATTCAGAGTCCTCAGGCATTGTGATCTGGTTTTTGAGGGGCAGATCTCCACAATTAATAAATCTCCACAATATACAAATGTCAAACATTCCATGGTACTCCATAAATGTGTAACACTTTTTTTTTTATTATTTTTACAAAAATAATTTGAATGAATCTGGACAAGCATATTGGACTTTTGTTTTTGGTTTTCCATGCTCATTTTAAAAAATCTAAATTACTTTGCCAGTAAACTGGATTAATCTCAAGAAGGTTCTCCTCAGAGTAAACTAAATGAACTTGGCTGTGGTGGGGAAGAAAAAGAAATGTTTTTAAGCTAAGAACAAAGGAAAGGAAATTTTTCTCAACCACTTGAAATGCTGCCAGGGTGACATCTGGCCATCCCAGTGTCACCAGGATGTACAAGGACATTGTTTGAACAGGATTAAAATCAAACCTGAGAATCATTTGTCTTTGCAGAGGTAAGGTAAAAATTGGTAACCTCAGGGATGGGCTGGTGTTGTGGCATAGCATGTAAAGCCAGTGTCTGAGGTGACAGGGTTCCCATATGCTTAGACTTGAGACCCAACTGCTCCACTTCCAATCCAGCTCCCTGCTTATGTGCCTGAGAAAACAGCAGGATATGACCCCAATGATTGGGCTTCTGTGCCCTATATGGGAGACCTGGAAGAAATTTTTAGTTCTTGGTTTAAGCTTGACCCAGTCATGGCTGTAGAGGATATTTGGGAAGTGAACCAGTAGATGGAAGATTTCTCTTTTTCTCAACTCTTTCAAATACATAAGTAAATAAATTCTTTAGGCTTTTTATTTAAAAAAAAAAAAAAAGGTTAGCAATCCATTGTATTCTTTGGAGTTTCCATGCTGTTTTTCTTTGCTTTCTTAATTTGGTTTTCATTGTTGAGGCATGAATGATCACAAAACTAGCCATGATGTAGCTGGAGTCAACCAAATGACAACAATGGCATTTGTACTCCACATTCTACCTATTAAGAAATGAGGACGCTCTCTCCTATCCTGGAATCTAAGCATACTTATGGCTAGAGCAAAAGTAATTTTTTTCCAGCATAAGTGATGAAAAGTGGTGCAATTTCTCACTAATTTCTTGAAGTGCTTGTACTTGGAACTCAGCCAGCAAATCACAAAGAAACCTGAGCTGGTGTCGGTGTTTTGGCTGTCAACCATAGCTGGAGACCTCACCAGCAAGACACGTTAATCACCAAATACAAGTGAGCAAACCTTTTGTTAATTCCAGGCCCCAATCTTTGAGAACATCCAAGCTTTTAAACCTTTCAAGATTAGGCCCCAGATATTGTGGACAGAGACATGCTCAACGTGCCTTTTCTGAATTCAGAAAACAACATGGCTTTTGTTTGATATCTTTGAATTTTAGCTGATCTATTAAACATGAATAGTCTTAAGATCATTACCCAAGGTTAATCCCTCTATGTCCTGGATCTCATCTGTCATTGCCTCCTTGGAAACAATATGTTCATCCAGTAAGAACTTGTTTTTCGTACTTTAAAACGTAGTTCCAGGCATTGGAGATACAGCATAGATCCTATCATGTGGTACTAAGTGCCACATAAAGAATTTAAACCAAGTGATACGATAAGAAGTCACTAGGAGAGATTTCTGATGGTTTGAATGCTTGAGATTGCTTTTCTGAGGTAACTAGTAAACTGAGACCCACATAACAAAAAGTGTTCAGCCATGGGAAAATCTGATGGAAAAACATCCCAAGAAGTAGGAAGAGAAAATACTAAGGTCCTAAAAAGGAAAAACAGATTAGTGTATTCAGATCACAAAAAGGCCTGTGTAGAAGGCTAGAACTACATCATGGAGGATTTTATAGACCAAGACAGTGAATTCAGATTATATGCTAAGAGAAAAAGGAATATTTCAAGGACAGGAAGCCTCTAGGATGGCTCTAGTTGTCCCACTCCCAGGTAATTCCCTCAAACTGAAAGTGTGTTATACTTATAGGCTCAATAAAATAAATAAGACTACGCAGACATGGTGAGGTATCACTTC